AAATTCCATAATATACCTGTAATGTATATAGATAAGGAACTTAATATTAATTTTGTATTGTAACAACAGCAAAATTTAATTTTTCATTCAACTTGGAATAAAATAAAATATGTATTGATAAAAGTCTTCTCTCTTTCCAACTTTCAAACATCGTGAATATTCGTGAAGCCGAAGTGTATGGCGCAGGCGCGTGCTCGGGCATTTGTACTTGTACCTCTGCACGCGGCCACGTCGGCGCCGCAGCCAGCGCAGACGGGCAGAATCAGTCGAACGGGTTGTTCTGTGTGCTTCGCTTGTGTTGTTGGGCGGAATTTTATTTCGTAATGGCGTCGTGCTGTGTGGAGGATTTGTCAATTTGTGGTCTTTCGCTACACCTAGTTGTGCCATTTTGTGTTCGAAAGGATCTCTGCGACCTACCAGTGCTTATTAGTTGGTGAGAAAGATTATTTGTTGAAAGATAACGTCGCATAACAATCAATTGTTTAGTTTATTTAATTTCAATATGGCGTCGGTTAGGAAATTTCTAACTTTTCTGATAAATAGCCCCTAAAAACCCGAACTTCATTCTTCATTAGGTAAGAGAAAATAACCAATAATTATTTTTTGTTTTCATAGTTGATTACATTCTAGGTGTGCAAGTTGAATTGTACTTCAAGAACTTTGGATTTTGGTTCTGTGGTTGTTTTGGTTAGTTAATGGTACCTTTATGAAATTGGAGCACCAAAAAAAAAAAGAAAACGCCGAACTCCCCCACTACAACATGCTGCCACTGCCAAACTATGGTTTTCGATGACATGACGGGGCATAAATACTACATTATTTAGGCAAAATTGTCCGTCGGTTATTATTAGTTGATAGATAATCAATATAAGTATGCATGTACCTTATTTTTTCAATAAAAAATGTTATTGGAAACTGATGTGCCTACTTAATTTTATAATTTTCAATTTTTGTTTTTTTTTTGGAAATAGTTCTATCTGACTTCCAGAAAATAGAACGAAAATTGAAAATTATTGAATTAGGTAATTTTTAATCCATAATCCTAAAATTCATTCACCTATTAAAGTCATACTAGAAACATATAGAGGATGTTTCTTACACCTGCCCCGGATGTATTAGGTACATCCCGCGTCATCTTAGAAACATCCCTGAGAGATGTTTATAGGACATCGCAAATGATGACACGGCTGTTGCCTGCAACATCCCAGGGATGTCCCCAGGAAAATAGGGACCTCCCAGGGACGTCTTCATTATCCCTGATGGATGTTTCTGGAATGTTTCTGCGATGTTACTGTGTTATTAGGGTTCATTTATCTGAAAGTAAGGAATTTAAATAGGCCCTTTGCATCAAATTTTTTTATTGCTGATTTCGATAGTCCATGAAAAATAAGTCAACACGTTTTTTTCTTTTTCGTATTAGTCCAAAATTGACGGAGATACAACGCTTTGAAATGTCCTTCCGACGTCATAACTTAGGTATAATACGTAGTGAGTTGTGACGTCGCACATGCCCAGTATATCTATATATAAAAAACTTAATACTTGTATAACTTCCGGAATAATCATATTTGGGTGAAATTAAAAAAAAGTAATAAATTTTTTTCGATTTCCCAGTTTGCAATAAACAATAATTAATTTTCCATGCAAGTACCCAATTATCAAAAATTATCAAGAACGTCAAATTGTCAAGAAAGATTCATTCAACAATAGTTTCCTTTTGGTTTCATAGATGTCGCTTTGAATTTTGGCTCGAAGGTTTGAAGCTATAAACCCTAATAATCGAAAATCCCTAACTTTTTCCCCAGAACCAAAATTCCCGCGCGAAGATACCAAAAAACAAACCCGACTTAGTGACAGAACCACATTTTTCGGAGAGAAGAAGCAGTTCTGCTTTTCTCGTCGCTTTTCTCTTGCCGATTTTTGAAAGTTTAGATCCCAAATAATTCGTTAAAAGGTGGCTATTAGCTCTGATTATAGCACCGAAGCACTGTTTTGCTGATTTAGTGACGAATTAGGAAGAAGAATCTAAAACTTTGGTTCCACGTTTTTGAGTTTGTGAAAAAAGGCCAATTTTCATTGGTAAGTTCCTTATTTTCTTACTTTTGAATAATAAATTGAGGCTTTACTGCTAGAAATATTCAAATAAATCGTACATACCTTATTCTTCAGAATCCTGACGCAATTTTTTTTGTTTCAGGCCTTTTATTTTTTTACGTTATGGTCCCCCTTTCTGTCTGTACGCCTTACCAGACAAGTGACATCCAACCCTATCTTGAAGCTAAGCATTTACAGAGGCCTTGAATTTACCTAGAGATTGGTTATTTTTCCGACAAGTAGTCTTGGACCCAGGGCCGTAGCTAGAGTCAAATTTGTGATAGGGCACGAGAAATTTGACATACTTAGGGCATACATTACTTGCTAACTTGCCCCTCCCCCCTAATCTTTTTATAGGTAAACAAAATGGGGGTAATGGCGCCGAAGACAAATTTTTCAATAAATAACATCTCTGACGACAAAGTAAACAAAATGACGCTGATTCTCGCGCCGCCTTGAAGCATTCGCACCAAGGGTAATACACACTAAAGGCCGAAACATACCTACGATTTTGTATAAAGCATAAGCATAAGCTACAACCAATCACAGGTTGTATTGAAGGTCACCTGATCATCAACTGAAAATCAGATGACCTTTAATACAACCTATGATTGGTTGGGGCTTATACTTATGCGTTATGCAAAACCGTGTGTTTCGGTCTAGAGTACTACTACATGATAGCTGTGTAGATCAAATCTCAAGCCCCCCACCACGCCAAAGAACCAGTGATGACGTAGGCAGCGTGTCGTTTCTCGCCTTAACACAGGGTGTTTCACCACAGGCTATGATTCGGGGCTTTTGCTCCATGCAAACTTGGTTTTAATACATTAATTAACATTCTAAAAAAACGTTTTTTCAGATCTCGTGTGCATCTTTCTCTTTGCCTAATTATGTTTGAATTAAATAACATTTTTCATCATAAATGTATATGCTAAACTACGACCGCTGGCGCAAACAGCTGACGATGTAATTGATGATGTCGTCAATGGTGCTACACTATATGGACTATGATGGACGCGATTTCCAGAAACAAGGCCCATAAGCAATTCTGTGTAGTATTATCGTATTATCCTTGCATTCGCTCTTTTTCGAAATGAAGAACTTCTTCTGTGTAAACGTCAAACAACAAACAATTGTTGCGTACATTTAGGCATTTTTGGAAACACTTATCCTCGCACTTACTCGATTTCAGAGCTATTCATCATCTACCTCAAATTTCCTAGAGAAACTTTAACGCATGTTGTGTTTTAAAGGTAGGGCATGATCATTTGAAAGATAGGGCATTGCCCCCCAATGCCCCCCCCCTGGCTACGGCCCTGCCTGGACCTGGTGAATAGCCCGAAGAACTTTAAGGACTTTGTTGCCCTCTCACACTTCTAAAAACCAACTAGACCCACCCAGTACATAATAATAAGGTTTGAGTATTGTTGTGCTGTCTTTGGGAACCATTCAAGCCTCTAAATTGATCATTTGATAGAGATTATCCATCTCATTGAGAGCTGGAGCTTCATTTAAGTACCAACAGCTTCCGGGTATTTCTGGATTTTAAGACCAGCGAACCTTTGCCCTGTTTTGCTAAAAGATTATTATTATTTTTATTATTATCATTATTTTAACCCTTCAGGCTTATAATATTAATTAAATTCTTACCTTTAAGTATCTGCCAATCACAATAATTACACTCAAATCATCACACTTTTAATTATCTCCTCTGCTCACTATAAGCAAGGGATAAAATAGATCTATTTAAAATGGTATTTTAAGTATTTTGAGGTGAATTGCTAGAAATTTAGGGGATAATACAGCCATGGCGTACTGACGCCCTATGTGAATTAATTATTTGTTTCCACGATTGTGTATTTATTTAAAGTGAGTACCGTCTAATTTTAGTATACGGTATCAGTTATTATTATTATTATTTTTTTATGTCTACCAGCTGATTTTTGCCGGTGACCATTTATGTTTCCAATTTTCAGGTTGATGTAAAAGGTAATATTTGAGAACAGATTGATTACATTTATTGATCTCAATTGAAGCGTTTCATTGTACCCTTTTAGGCAATTTTAGTTTGACAGGTGCAGTACCGTTTAGCTGTTGAGTTTTCCTGTTTTGTTTTGGATATCGGAACTTCGTTTAAATGAAGGGCATTAAAACAGGTGGAGCTTTTTATTTGATTACCCACACCACTCTCCGCTACGAGTTAGTCGGCAGCCTTTAGAAACGGAGTCTCCTTTCTAGTCTGTTAGTACTGTGGCCACCTTTCTAAATTTTCATTTTCACTTCACTTTCACTTTTCTCTCTTTTTTTTTAATTTCGTTATTTTTTTTTTTTACATAACAAAATTAGCGCCCACTTCATTTCCACTTTATTTAGGTATCTATCTATATATCTTTTTTATTAATTAACAAATTTTTCAAAAAATCACAATCAAAAGCATTTTGTTTTTCGTTTTAGTCAAGATGGAGCCTGTGATATTCCAGGTGGTTCAGCTCTAGGCGACGCATACATAATGACTTGTAGACAAAAGTACGTTTATAGAAGACGATTAGCCTTGGACCAAAAAGGAGAAGCTATTCCAGATTCGTTTAAAATTCCTTCAGCTTGTTGCTGTGCGTATAAGCAAAACTTTGACTTTTTAACTCGGTTTGGTAGAGCTATGACTCCGGCACCCAAAAAGTCCAACAATGTGAAACATTGATACCCACAACTTTCAGTAGGATTAAGCTTCATAAATTAATTAACAAGAAGAAGAAAACACTCAAGTAAATCTTCACAGATTTATCAGGCATACATATTTGTTTATGGTTATTTTATATTTTTATAAATTCATTTTAATTGAAATAAATTTTGTACTTCGTCTGTGAAACTTTGCTATTATCATTTGAACTTTTGCAGGAAATCCAAAATTATAACTTATAATTATAATCACAATTATCGTATTTATGTATGGTCTCCAATAATCTATCATAAAATAAATCTTTAATGTCTTTAGCAGAAATGAAGTCTAAATGATTGAAAAGTTCGTAGTCTACTAAATGTTGTTCGATCACGTTTGTCATCTCGGATAATAGCTTTTCAACGTCCTGAAAAAGATTAGAAGACCCTAATAAATTCTAGTTTTATAATAATAATTTTTAAGCAGTTTTATATTTATTGCAATATTACCTTTATACTAGCAAAAAAGTCATTTTGCGCATAATATGCTGCCACAGGAGCTGTAATTTTGGACACATCATATTTTGGAGGAACAGATTTTCCATAATGGAGCAGGTTGCCTTCTATTCCATAATCATATTCTTTAAAAGAATCTGAAAATTTTTGTCTATGCTTAAATGATTGCTGTTAAAATATGAGTTGTGTGTGAAAAGTTTGAACATTATTGGAATAATAAAATGAAGTTACCTGTAATAATTTCTTGTCCATAATGATAAAGTTGCCGCGTTCCTATTCCGTTTGGTTTGTCCGACAAAAACACCAGAAACAAATCCTAAAACCGAAAAAATTATTACTAAAAAGATAAAAAGGTAAAGTATTACCATTATCAATTGAAAATCGCATCTCTATGGTGACTACTCAAAATTAGAAAAATACCCTTTATAATAATATAAAATAATTTTTATATTTTTATGCCTAGTCCTGGTACACTATAACAAAGACACCGCACGCCGGCAAAAAAAACTTGAAAATTGTCGGCGATGCTGCGCTTTATCGCTTTCCGACAAAGGTGAGCCGCTCTTGTTGACAGTGTGAGATATTCTCTTTAGAAGTGGACAAAAGTATAAAATTACATAGATAATTGATTAAAAATCAATTTCAAATTTGAATTTTTAATAAAGGAATAATATTCCCATTCAAATATTTATATTTGATTTATTTCAATAGTTTAAAACGGAATTTTAAGGATTACCTATACTATATGAATTTTGCCCATTTATTTATTGTATTATCTCCACTGTATTCTAGAGGTAAATCAGCTAGAATTTCCGGGCAATGGCGTTCGTCATTTCAGTTTTTATAGAAATATCTGGAGTATGTTTATTCTTTATTAACCAATTTGTTTTCATTTGTCATGATAATAATATTTAGACGCCTATGGATTCCCACGTGACTTCAAAGAGATCAACTGAGCCGCCTTTTTTAACTTTAACAAAGCTTACATGTCTTGTCTTATCATATCAATTTGATCGTAATCGTAGCCAACAAGCATTTGTACAAAATTAGCACACGTTTGAGGAATTATATTGCAATCTTCAGCTACTAAAGTACTGACTTCTTCAAAATATGGCAAACCGTGGAAGTTAAGTACTTCGAATACGAGCTAAAATATTCAAGAACAAGTGTCTGCAATCAATAACATTTTGAATTTGAATATTGCTTAATCTAGGTAAAAGTCAAAACGTGATTTTTGACCTACTGTTTATTCAGAAATATTGACCTAGTAGTTTTCAGTTTTACGCGCCCTGTATATATTTGGAAATGGAAATTGATTCGTTTTTCTTTTCTTCTTTATGTTTTGTTTCTCTTATTCTAGTAGGCTCATACAGCAAATTTTTTTTATTACATATTCTAAAAGAGCGTATTGAGTTTAGCAGTTGTGCAAAATTTCATAATTTTTCGAGCCCTTGTTCATATTTAAATAAATTATCAAAACGCTCCAAATTTGAAACACGCGGTGACGTCACTGCATCTCTCACGTTGGTCGTGGTGGTACTGTTACGCCCGTCACTACGACATTATGAGGATTGTTTTGACAATTTTTAGTTCGGTAGAAGTTGGAATTTTTTCTATCTGGTAGAACTGGATGTTTTTCTTCGGAACATATTAAAGTATATTTGATTAATTCCCTGACTTTCAATATTTTATGGGCAGAATTATGGAAGTAGCATGCAAAAAGTAAAATTATAAAGTCTGTTTTTTTTTAAAAGATAAAAGTCAAAATGACATTATGTTGGCAATACAATGTAAACTTGTCAAGGCTTTCAAATTTTTTATGTAGAAAAGGCTTGTGTTGCCAACATAGTTACTAAATTTGTGACTTGGGGAATTATTTTTAAATAAAAAACATACTTTAGATAGTTCCACAAACTCGGAAATGGCGTCCCAGTTGACATTGCGTTATGCATAACCGTGTGTGACCGCCTTTAGCCTGTCTCGACTCGAGAGATGACGTCATACCATCTCTCAGCGATGAATTTCTGAGGCATAACTTAGACGCATAACTTAATATTAATCCAATTGAGCTGAAATTTTCTGTGTGCTATAGTGAGTAATACTTCATAAAAATATGGAAAAACGTGGTTAATGAAACTTCACTGAACGAGCCTATTGAATAATTGAGCGTTTTATGCCTAAGAATTGATACGGCTTTGCTAAATTTGGCTTTTAAAAATGCGCGCGTTATACACTGAAAAGGATACCGGCAAAGTCCTTACATTGCTGACCAGTAAATCTATAGACTTTCCTAAATCCTAATTTAAATAAGTAATTTGTTTACAAGTTCTAGTACCCGATTGTGACCAAAAATTAGAAACAAAATAGCATTAAATTACAAATAAAAACATAGGTACATTAGACAAAATGTTGAAGCAACCGAAAATAATCAATTATTGGCCAATGCAAGAGTTGAAAAAGCCAATTCCAGTCATTCATAAAGGATTCCAATTTATTCACAAAGTAATTTTTGAATTGTCAAATTTGTCCATCAATTGAATAAGATATTATATTAAATAAATTTTTATAATATCAACGGAATTTCAAATTACCTATATTAAAATTTCAAAACAAAATACTCCTAAGTAGGTATGCATTATTATTAATTATATGTCGGTGCGTAACCGGTCTCCACGATATTTCAAACATATTTTAATTAGTGCGTACTTGATGGATGCACTGATGAAAGAATAAAATAAAAATTAATATTCCTACTGGTCAGTGTCTAAGTTGACCAGCAGTACCACGGTAGCGACAAGAGAGAGTCTCTCTGGTAACAAGCTCGCGCTGTAATATTTATTAATTATTATCTTTTGCAAACAAAGGTCAATGTTTATTATTAAAAATAGATAATAATTCATTAAGGCTGGTAAAGTGTTAGTTCTACCCATAAATTATTATGTGATCGTTGACAAAAATTATCGGCTAACAAGGTGAAAGATGGTAAAAGCGATTTTAAATAAGTCGTCTTTGAAATATAAACAATTATTTAGTGAAATTAGCTTTCCATGTATAATAACAGTGTGGTAATTTTTAAGTGATAATTGTTTAAACAATGATAACTAGGTGGACTGCGTTAGATGTATGGATATTTTTTATACTACTGGTGAGTGAGTTTTTTTTTTCAAAAAATACTTAGCTTAAAAATTAATTTCTATGACACAAAAGTTAGTTAAATAGTAAGTACTTAGTTGTTATTTCCATGCTTGTCATAGAAAATTTTGTAAATAATTAATTGGTTTTTAATAAGATAATTTTATAGACCTTGAATAAAGTGGTTTTTAATGCTTCTGTCAGGTCATAATACTAATTTGTAACCGGACATTTGGTGAAAAATAAGTTTTTGTATTTTTGGATTTGTATATTTGTCTTTTGTTTATTGAATTTATGATGGGTAACTAAAAATTTCCATGTTATCGTTTTATGCAATTTGAATTTTCCTAATTGTATGAAATTTTTGGGAATCATTTTGCATATAATAGAGTACAAAAGTCAGGAGTGTCCTAAATTTTATGTCTAAAAACATCATGTTACACTATTTCTGTAAAACAATTTAAAATCCATTGGGACCATCATAGAAATTCAACCTTGATATTGGATCATTGCGTTTCCTGGGAAAGTTGAAATAATTTGGTTCTCATTAAAATTTTTCAAATGCCAGTGAAGATTTAAATTCCAGTCTTATCTATTTGTTAATGAGAATTTGAATATGTTGACTTGTAGTAGTATATAACAAGTTTTGGAAATCACTCTTTCCAGTCTTTTCACACAGAAAATTTATCGAACAAGTATGGAAAGGTATTTTCTGATGTGTTGTACCCACACTATATAGGTACTTTTATTATAATTGCATTGAAATTACGAGGATAAAGCAAATAAATTATTATTCTTTGAAATTTGGATGAATCAAAAACTGTTCTGGACAACTATATTTCTAAAAAATTGCATAGCAGGATTAATTGGCTAGATTTCATGGATCCTGATTTTCATTTATAGCAAAAAATGAACCTCTTTGCACCGCTCTATTGTTCAAACTGGGTCTGAAGTCCGAGGAAACATTCTGCTAAGTTTTCTGTTACAAAAAAATTCTGTCAAATGAACAGTTTCTTTTACAATAAATGGCCAGAGAAGGTAGATTTGAATCATCGGATGGTGGGTGCCAGCATTCAAATAACTGTCATTAAAGAACGACAAAGAATGAATAACAGAAAAAAAGACACAATAGACAATCTCCAGTGAACGAGTTAGTAACTGGAAAGTCGAAACGATAGCAGCAGCCCGGAAGAAATTCTTGCCCACAAAAGTAAAACTAAACTTACTATACAAAACGGAAACTAAAATAGAACAAAGAAAACATCTAAAACCTACCAACCAACAAAAGCTTTCCATAAATCTTGGCCCTTAACCCGATCTAACTGAGGATCAAAACAAAAAAACTTTTCACCCGAGCCAAAAAAAGGAAGTAAATATGAAGGCTAAAATGAATACAAAACCAGCTCCAACCGATGTAAGAGCGAGATCAGAAAGGCGAAAAAGAGGTAGGAATTCTGAGAGTCCATTATAAACACTCATTCACGCGTCAGCCAGGCTGAGTGAAATTCTTTCGAGGGACTCGACCATACCTCCTGGGTCTTTATTCTTGAAACAGGGGAGCAGTGTTCCTAGGAGAACGAGTGTTCCGTCTTTGTTACTTATATTATCATTTGCATATCATTGAGAAAGATGGAACACTCGTTCTCCCTGGGAACGCTTCTCCCTTGTATAAAAAATAAGGACCCTGGAGGAGTCAAAAGGCCTGACGATACGTGGACAGAACCCCAGCAAAGAAACCGTCAGACTACTAATGAAAACACATTTCCCAGGTTGTACAGGAACAGATACCAACCAACAGCTTTGAAGATCAATAATTGGGATTGTAAAAACCTACCATTCCTACAAGTGCGGAACCGGATGGGGTTATGCCAGTTATGCTACAAAAATCCCTGGAAAGCATTCTAGTACCAATGCTAAAAATATTTGCTGAATGATTAACACTAGAGCATACACCAGCAAGATTGAGGGAAGTGATGGGCTGTTTTCGATTCACTTTGGTCCGTATTCAAGACAAACCAAATTAAAACCAACCATTTTCGATTGCAAACCGGTGACCACAGAACATATCACCTATAGAAAAATATCTCAAATGGGAGAATCGCGTCGAAGGTTTTTAGTTAGGCTTCTAGTCAACGATGGCGACACTGTCGGGAGAAAAGAGAAATTTACAGGTATCTGTGGTGTGGACAGTGATATGTGTTGGTTGGTTTTGTCATTTTAAAAGTCAAAATTTGAATTTTTAAATTGTGTTGTTGTAAACCATGGTCCCCACGCGCGGTAAAGTGAAAATTCACAAAGTTTTGGTTGAAAAAAACCCTAATTTTTGTTCGTATTTTTTTGTATTTACTCGTTTGTTTCGTTTCGTTCGTATTAATATTTATTATTCGTATTTACTTTGCGATCTACCTGAGCTGCGTGTCTCTTGCTAACTTACACTAACTCTTTTTGCACTATGTTCGACATCGGAAACTTCCTGCCAGTCATAGTTTTCAAAAAAATGAGGCGAAAAGAGCTAAAAGGAGTCAGCAAGCCAAATGCAGTTGAAGATTAAAAATTATTTAAAAATAATAAAAATATATGGAAAAAAATCAATTCGCCTTTTTGTCAAGAATGCTCGATTAGTTGGGTTTTCAGTCAACGATGGCGCTGTAATTCATAACCGGTACATAACATTGCAGATACTTTTCTAGAGGTGATATGTTCTGTGCCGGTGACGTGACAGGCATCGCTTGGTCCGTCTAAATTCGAACCAGCTTCGCGAGTTGGTTCGAATTTTAGTTTGAGATTTGTGGGCCCGGATCCCGAACCCATGATTCGATAGTATCGTCTATCTAATTTATATGGACGACACTATTGAATCATGGGTTCGGAATCCGGGCCTTTTGGTTTGCTTTTATAACCTTAAAACATGGCGCATTTTTTGACAGACCAAATTCAAAAGCTGTTAACCAACTTCTGTCATATCCGAACCAACCAAGGCCGGACATGCGAATCGAAAACAGCCAAGGTCGTCTCTATAACTGGAGCAGGTAAATCAGGCATTTCAACCCCAGAAGGCTATATACCAATTAGTTTATCATCATTCTTGTTAAAGACTCTAGAGAAGCTGATTGATCTGATCTACACATTAGAGAATTAACGGGAATAAACATGCAATGCCCAGACCAATATACATAACTTAAAGGAATAGGTACCTAATTGAGACATCTCTTGAAAATAAGGGATACACACTAGGTGTATTTCTCGACACAGAGGGTGCATTCAATAATGTAATGATTGAGTCCATTGAAAAATCCATAGAGCATCTGAAGGTCGAACCAGTCATCATACAATGGATAATAGAAATGCAGAAGCAAAATTATTAATTCAGAAATTGGTGACTATACCATAAGGAAAAGAACAACCAGAGGGACTCCACAAGGAGAAGTGATATCTCCACTCTTGTGGCTGTTGGTAATCGATATAATTCTGAGAGCCTTTAGAGAAAGGAGGATAAAATTGATTGCGTATGTTGACGACGTAGTAGTTCTAGTGACAGGCTTCAGCTTATCAACCATCAGTGAAATGATGGAATCGGCATTGAAGGAACTCTTTGAACAGAACAGATTGAGAGTAAACCCTTAAGAGGGGCGTTTAAATAAAATGTCATTTACAGACCTTCACAAATTTCTGTTCAATTCCAAATTTAGACCACTTTTCAGTAAAATGAAGTTATGTTCATAACAATAATAGATTGGGGTAGTTGTTCTTCCATTTTTTGTTGCAAAATACGCAGTCTAAATAGTAGAATTATTGAAAATTTTGTTGACAACAATACACATTTTGGTCATGGATTTAAATGAAAAAAGGATAAACATATAGAGTAGCTCACCAACAATAAATTTCCAAAATTTCGGATTGTCAATTGCTGGAATAAATGAATAGAACCAGAATCGCCGAAAATTTATGATGTTTTTATTCCAAAATTAATCAAAATCTGCCAAAAGTGCGAAACAAGCAGGTGATTGTTGTCATTTTTAGCAGAGACTCAAACCATAGACTCAAACCAAACGTGTGTTCAGCGATTCTCTTAAAGATGTCGCTGAGTTCGGGATGGGTAGTCACTTCTTTCAAACGCCAGTAAAAACTAGTAAAAACTAGCTAAAAATGTGAAATACTATTATTTCGTTTGCATCTAAATAAAATTATTAGTCCACTGTAAATTACTGTCTTAACGAATTGATATTGAAGATGTCGCCATCTACTTGTGAAAAAGTCAATCGCTTACAGAGAATTTGAGCACCTGTGATTAAAAAATATTTAATGTATGACATAAAGCCCAAAAGATGGCGCGCTGGCTCTTATCTGACGCCCCTCTTAACCAAGCTAGTCACAAAAAAATACAAAATCCCTAGTTTTACAATGCTGACGGTTGGAAAAGAAACTTTCAGTTAGTTTTGGCAGCGCATTGTGCAAGATACGGTTTTTCGAAGGAACGGCCCATAAAAATATGGGAATGGGGAAACTATTTAGGAGAATAAGGTGATTTTAAATAGGTAGGTACAGGGTGTTTCTCTATATATTGACACCCTACCTACGGCCTTTACCTTTACAGGTGAAAAAAAGGTGTAAATACAAAAGTTGTACAGTTTTGGCTGAATTTTTAGAAACCATGGTCAGAAACAAAATTTGAATGTCAGAAATGTGAAATTTTGCATGCTTCCAGCTTTTTTCAAATGGGATGCCTTATATTTCATTCTATATTCTTGAAAAACACAATGCCCCGATTTCAAAAATATATAATTTGTCTATATTTGATTGAACAGTCTCTCATATATTCGGCTCCAAAAATTGTAAAAATATGAAAGCTGCAGGTAAAATTTAAGGTATGTATATCCTATTCACAGTCTGTAGTCCGAAGGTACAGGTAAATTTATCACCTTTGCCTATCAAATAGCATTGAAAGTTGATACATTTTACCTGTACCTCTGGACTACAGATTGTGAATAGACAATACTTGGTTTCCCTGATAGT